GATCGATAGATAGATAGATAGATAGATAGATAGATAGATAGATAGATAGATAGATAGATAGATAGATAGATAGATAGATAGATAGATAGATAGATAGATAGATAGATCGATAGATAGATAGATAGATAGATAGATAGATAGATAGATAGATAGATAGATAGATAGATAGATAGATAGATAGATAGATAGATAGATAGATAGATAGATAGATAGATAGATAGATAGATAGATAGATAGATAGATAGATAGATAGATAGATAGATAGATAGATAGATAGATAGATAGATAGATAGATAGATAGATAGATAGATAGATAGATAGATAGGTAGATAGATAGATAGATAGATAGATAGATAGATAGATAGATAGATAGATAGATAGATAGATAGATAGATAGATAGATAGATAGATAGATAGATAAACAGATTGATTTATAGGGGCAACATGTTTGAACAATATATTGTCAAATTTGTTAAAATAAATAATAACAAAATAGCAACAAATATAGTACGGTTTTTGACATTTAACTATTACGTACATTACATGAACGAAGTTATGTCCTGCAAACAAAGCTTTTATATTTAGAGGATCAAAAATAGTTATACAATTCAAAGATTTTTAGATAAAGCTATATAATTATATAGATTATTTATTGCATAATAAATAATTTTTTACGAGATAAACTTGTATGACCTTTAAAATGCAATTATAATAATGTATTTCTGAATATAATAAAACTATTTATCTATAATAAAATCTTATGTTTCCGCAAAAAATACTTATGTTTTGAGAAATAATGATGATAATAAATTCAAAATATTTATGTATGTAGAGAAACAAATATTTTTAACAAGTTTTTATAACCTCTGACCTTTCTTATCTTAAAATAAAAAATTATATATAGTTGTATGTGTATTAAAAAAGATAAGTAAATTACTTTTTCTTTTTTTTTCGAAAACAAATTTTAATTAATAAAGAATAAAATATTACACTTGCAACTCGTACAGAGTCGACCGAGAGTCGAAAATATATGTAATAAAGTATGAATTTTGTATTTGTGGCACAGAGTAGTGTAGTTTAGTATGTTTATGTTGTATCGCTCTGTAGTTGCTATTTCTGCTGCTAGTCTTGTTGTTATTGTTTTGTAAGTTATTCACCATTTTGTGTTTTGTGACAGCTTAAGATTGATTAGTATTATCTTGTGAGTTTATAGCACACATAAATCTTATTGATTGATTATGTTCCTTTTTAAATGTAGACAATCAAGACGTATATACACACATACATACATACAGACAGACATATAGTACATATATTTCTATATAGTAAATATATATGTACTATATATGGAAGCATTAGTTATTGTTTATATAAACATGTATATAATGTATTTAGGAAATGCAAGCATGATGCTTAAAATTAAGAGTTTATACATCATTCTAGATCAAGTACAATTTTCAAATTTGTTGTAGTCATTTGTTGTGGTAGTTAGTTTATTGAAATTATTTACTTTTTTAAAAAGACTTTAATTTCATTTTAGATATACAAAAAACCTGTATTATTTTGAAAATATTAAAAAAAAATATTTTTTAATTACACTTTTTTATTTTATGCCAGTTCACATTTATCAATGTAACAGCTGTCCGTCACTGAATGACATGTTAAGACTCTAATTGATATGTCCATTGATATGACTAATTTCTACAAAAATAGCAATTATGTGAAATTTTTGTCATTGAACTCTTTAAGTGCTTAAAATAAAGGATCGATAGAAGAAACCGTCAGAACTATTGAATCGATATACAAAGCAATTTACAAAGAATATTTAGTTGAGCTGCACAGAAACCAAATCTGAACATAGAATTTCTCAACCAGATTAGGATTTCGACTTTGAAGAAATCCCATTTTCGACATAGTTGAATCCATATGTGAACTCAGCTTTACTCCTAGGAGTATATATCTATCTATCGATCTATCTATCTATCTATCTATCTACTATCTATCGAGAGCGAGCGAGCGAGCGAGCGAGCGAGCGAGCGAGCGAGCGAGCGAGCGAGCGAGCGAGCGACGAGCGAGCGAGCGAGCGAGCGAGCGAGCGAGCGAGCGAGCGAGGAGCGAGCGAGCGAGGAGCGAGCGAGCGAGCGAGCGAGCGAGCGAGGAGCGAGCGAGCGAGCGAGAGGAGCGAGCGAGCGAGCGAGCGAGAGAGAGAGCGAGCGAGCGAGCGAGCGAGCGAGCGAGAGCGAGCGAGCGAGCGAGCGAGCGAGCGAGCGAGCGAGGAGCGAGCGAGCGAGCGAGCGAGCGAGCGAGCGGCGAGCGCGAGCGAGCGAGCGAGAGCGAGCGAGCGAGCGAGCGAGCGAGCGAGCGAGCGAGCGAGCGAGCGAGCGAGCGGAGCGAGCGAGGGCGAGCGAGCGGAGCGAGCGAGAGCAGCGAGCGAGCGAGCGAGCGAGCGAGCGAGCGAGCGAGAGAGCGAGCGAGCGAGCGAGGAGCGAGCGAGCGACGAGCGAGCGAGCGAGCGAGAGCGAGCGAGCGAGCGAGCGAGCGAGCGACGAGCGAGCGAGCGAGCGAGCGAGCAGGCGAGACGAGCGAGCGAGCGAGCGAGCGAGCGAGCGAGCGAGCAGAGCGAGCGAGCGAGCAGCGAGAGAGCTAGCGAGCGAGCGAGCGAGCGAGCAGAGCGAGCGAGCGAGCGATAGCGAGCGACGATGAGCGCGCGAGCTAGCGCGCGAGCGATCGAGCGCGAGCGAGCTAGCGAGCGAGCGATATAGCGAGCTATCTATCGCGGCTATCTATCTATCTATCTATCTATCTATCTATCTATCTATCTATCTATCTATCTATCTATCTATCTATCTATCTATCTAGTCTTTATTCTTGTCTATAGTTTGGTCTGTAGTCTTCTTTCTTCTTTATATTCTAGTCTATAGACTAGTATATAGATCTATAGTGTATTCTATAGTCCAGTAGTATACTCTATAGTCTAGTTTATAGCCTATTCTACGTTATAGTCGTTAGTATAGTCTTTAGTCTGGTTCATAGTCTATAGTCTGGTATATAGTCTAGTCTATATTCTAGTCTATAGTCTAATCTATAGTCTACTATATAGTCTAGTCTAGTCCATAGTCTAGTCCATAGTCTAGTCTATAGTCTAGTCCATAGTCTAATCTACAGTCTAGTCCATAGTCTAGTCTACAGTCTAGTCTAGTCTATAGTCTAGTCTAGTCTACAGTCTAGTCTATAGTCTAGTCTATAGTCTAGTCTATAGTCTAGTCTATAGTCTAGTCTATAGTCTAGTCTATAGTCTAGTCTATAGTCTAGTCTATAGTCTAGTCTATAGTCTAGTCTATAGTCTAGTCTATAGTCTAGTCTATAGTCTAGTCTAGTCTATAGTCTAGTCTATGGTCTAGTCTATAGTCTAGTAGTCTAGTCTATAGTCTAGTCTATAGTCTAGTCTATAGTCTAGTCTATAGTCTAGTCTATAGTCTAGTCTATAGTCTAGTCTATAGTCTAGTCTATAGTCTAGTCTATAGTCTAGTCTATAGTCTAGTCTATAGTCTAGTCTATAGTCTAGTCTATAGTCTAGTCTATAGTCTAGTCTATAGTCTAGTCTATAGTCTAGTCTATAGTCTAGTATCTAGTCTAGTCTATAGTCTAGTCTATAGTCTAGTCTATAGTCTAGTCTATAGTCTAGTCTATAGTCTAGTCTATAGTCTAGTCTATAGTCTAGTCTATAGTCTAGTCTATAGTCTAGTCTATAGTCTAGTCTATAGTCTAGTCTATAGTCTAGTCTAGTCTAGTCTAGTCTAGTCTATAGTCTAGTCTATAGTCTAGTCTATAGTCTAGTCTATAGTCTAGTCTATAGTCTAGTCTATAGTCTAGTCTATAGTCTAGTCTATAGTCTAGTCTATAGTCTAGTCTATAGTCTAGTCTATAGTCTAGTCTATAGTCTAGTCTATAGTCTAGTCTATAGTCTAGTCTATAGTCTAGTCTATAGTCTAGTCTATAGTCTAGTCTATAGTCTAGTTATAGTTAGTCTAGTCAGTCTAGTCTATAGTTTAGTCTATAGTCTAGTCATATTCTAGTCTAATTAGTCTATCGTCTAGTCTAATAGTCTAGTCTATAGTCTAGTCTATAGTCTAGGTCATAGTCTAGTCTATAGTCTAGTCTATGTCTAGTCTATCAGTCTAGGTCTATAGTCTAGTCTGTAGTTAGTCTATTATATTCTAGTCTATAGACTATAGTGTATTCTATAGTCCAGTAGTATACTCTATAGTCCAGTTTAAGCCTAGTCTACGTTATAGTCGTTAGTATAGTCTTTAGTCTGGTCCATTGTCTAGTCCATAGCGTATAGTCTATAGTCTGTTATATAGTCTAGTCTATATTCTAGTCTATAGTCTACTATATAGTCTAGTCTATAGTCTAGTCCATATTCTAGTCCATAGTCTAGTCTATAACTAGTCTATAATCAGTCTATAGTCTAGTCTAGGCCATAGTCTAGTCTATAGTCTAGTCCATAGTCTGGTGCATAGTCTAGTATATAGTCTACTCTTAAATCTATTTGAAAGCATTCTAAAACAAATGCAATTTTTCTAGGAATGATTTTTTTAATTTGTCAAATAAATCTAATTTTTAAATGTAAAACTATGTTTAAGTTAAAATTACATTTATTTACGCGATAATATATTGATTGATTGATTCATTATCAAAGTCCTTTAGATAAGATTTTAAAGTGCAACTTCTTAGATAACTCTCGTGTACCTAAAAAATCAATTATAAAGGCTATAATAATACTTAACCAAACAAAAACCGATAAGATAAACTAAACAGCAATGAAATCTTATCTCTTGTTTATAAATTACTCAAAACTATATCAGTTAATCTAATCTTATCTATTATATACATATATGCATAAGAATAAAAACTATTTTATAAAATTCATATTCTGAAATCACATTAAAAAGATCCTTATTTATAAATGTATTTTTTGTGTATTTACTCTTTTACAGTCTGAATCTACATCGACCTCAATATCATCGAATATTTCCAAACCTATTGCAACAAAATGTGTTTTTTGCGCACAAACACTGGGCATCAATGATCGTCCCAAATTGCTAGAATGTTTGCACGTCACCTGTTCACAATGTATGAGTACGAAATTCGCCGAATTAGATCGTACTATGCCCCCGTTAATACACTGTCCCATTTGTAATATGGCCTCACAGAATGAATTCATTATTGATAATCAATTTTTAATTGAACATTGCACCGGTGCTGGTGATATGTCAGCGGATGCCAATGATTCCATCGGTTCAAAGACCTCAAACAATATACCGTGCAGTAGTTGCTCGGACAATAACATAGCCACGTCGTGGTGTGTCGATTGTTCCGAATATATATGTGATAGTTGTGTGCAGGCTCATCAACGTTTAAAAATAACTAAAGATCATACGATCAAACCCAAAGAGGAGGCTAACAACGAACAATTGCCCAGTTCGGCTGTTGATAAATTACACATGTGCGTATTGCATCCTCAGGAGAAGCTATCGCTGTATTGTGAAACCTGCGAAAAACTAACATGTCGAGATTGTCAGCTAAGCGATCATCGTGATCATAAATATAAGTTTGCTCATGAAATTGCCACCGAAACAAGACATGCCATTACCTCAATGGTAGCGGAAATCAACTATAAACGTTTCTTACTCACCTCGGCTATGCAAGTCATTGCCGAACGACAAAAAGTGATTTCGGATAAGAAGAAAGAATTGATCAAAGAAATAACAGCCATGGTTGTGACAATTACCAATACGGTTAATATGCGTGGCAAACAGTTGGTAATGCGTTTAAATGAAGTTTGTGATGGTAAATTAAAACTGTTGGTCGATAAGCGTGATTCTCTCATTTCACTCTCTGATAATACCGATTATTGTATTGATTTCATTGCAAATGTTTTGGACAAGGGTAGTGATTATGCTATACTGTCGAGTAAAAAGTCATTGGTTAGACATTTGCAGAAGCTGAAGTGTCAACGAGCTGATATACCTAATCCCGATATACCGTTACGCATCGATTTACAAATGTGTCAAATTCAACAATTACAAAAAGGTGAGTAGAGAAATAAATTTTTTTTAATTTGATTAGTATATCTTGCTGTAAATCAGAAGAAGATCCAACTTAAAATCTGCAAAATTTGTCTATAAATAAAGAAGATATGAGCTAAGTTTGGAAGCAACCCATGAAATATTGTCAGAAAATACGAATTTTGTCATTATGTAGGAAAACCCAAGGAAACAACAAAATGCATTGTTGTGGGGGAGAAGGGGTGGAAGGCGCAAGGAACGACGACGGACGGACGACGGACGGACGGACGGAGGACGACGACGACGGACGGACGGACGACGGAGACGGACGGACGGACGGACGGACGGACGGACGGACGGACGGACGGACGGACGACGGACGGACGGACGGACGGACGGACGGACGGACGGACGGACGGACGACGGACGGACGGACGGACGACGGACGGGACGGACGACGGACGGACGGACGGAGGACGGACGGACGGACGGACGACGACGGACGGACGACGGACGGACGGACGACGGACGGACGGACGGACGGACGGACGGACGGACGGACGGACGGACGAAGGACGGAGGACGGACGGACGGAAGGACGGACGGACTGACGGACGGACGGACGGACGGACGGACGGACGACGGACGGACGGACGACGGACGGACGGACGGACGGACGGACGGACGGACGGACGGAGACGGACGGACGTACGGACGGACGGACGGACGGACGGACGGACGGAGGACGGACGGACGGACGGACGGACGGACGGACGACGGACTACGGACGACGGACGGACGGACGACGACGGACGGACGAGGACGGACGGACGGACGGACGGACGGACGACGGACGGACGGACGGACTGACGACGGAGGACTTACTACTACGGACTTACGGACGGACTACTTACGGACGGACGGACGGACTTACTTACTTGACTTACTTACTTACTTACTTACTTACTTACGACTTACTTACTTACTTACTTACTTACTTACTACTTACTTACTTACTTACTTACTTACTTCTTTGTTATGAGAATACAAAAACTCCTAAATCCTAAAACCAACTTTTTTAAATATTATTTCCTTATTTTTTTCAGAAATTTCACGCCTTGGTAATATACTTGTCGATGGCAAACCCTATCCACCGCAACCATCACCACCACCCCAACAGCAACAACGTCAACAGCCAAGTCCCAATATGGCACCACCTTTACGACCTGGCATGCCGCCGGGAATGCAGGCTGGGATGTCGCCGGGTGTACCGCCACCCCCGGGTGGATTTGGTCCACAAAATGGTCCTGGCCTATACAACAGCAATTCACCGCAACAACATGTACACAACATGCAAATGAATCGTAGTTTTGCTGGCGAGGGGCCAGGTAAGGGTAGGCAACAAAATCGTTCAATAAAAAAGAAAAAAACTTTTAGTATTTGGGAATTTTTAATAAAATATATTAATGTATTCATTCATTCCAATTTGCAGTACGTTATGGTGGTCTACCGCCCTCATTAGCAATGCAACGTCAAGGGCAGCCTCATGTTAGTTCCTCAACACATCCACAAAATATGGGTAGGTTTTAATAGGGGAATAATATAAATATTTATTTAAAAAATATTAATTGAATGACGTTCTGTTTTAATTTCTAGACATAAGCCTACGTGGTTTATTAAATAATCAAGCTGCTCAAAGTCCAAATCAACCGCCTCATATGCCACCCTTCAATGGACCGCCCAGTTATCCGGGTGGACCACAGGGAGCACCATCACCACAACAAATGGGTCCTCAAATGCGTCAGCATTTTATGGGCGGTCCACCGGGTCAGCAGCATCAGAATTACGCACCCACGCCGCCTGGTGGACCAAATAATCCAAATTTTATGAATAACAGCGCAGCAGCAGCAGCCGCCGCACGTTTCCAATCATACCAACGTATGTCAAGTCATGCCCAACAACAAGCAGCCGTAGCTGCCATGGCCTCCTCCGGCCAGGGACAAATACCATCACCAAATGCCATGCAAAGACCACAAATGCACCATAATCCCATGCAAAATGTAAGTTAAAGATGACCTTCTCTAATTTTACAATGTTTTAATTATTTTCTCTTTTAGAACATGGGGTTTCACGGAAACCAGCCTGGTTTTAATGCCGGCCATCCGCAAACCTCACCGCAATTAGGTGGTGGCGGCGCTGGAGGCGGAGCCGGCGGTGGCAGTGGTATACACATGGCTAAATGGCATATACCTCAATCTGCTCAAAGTAATTGTGAGTGTTTTATGTGATTAAAACTGTTATTAATGGAACATTTTTCTTATTTCACTTTAATCCATTTCTAAATAGGTTGCTCTCAACAAGGGCCAAATTTGATGAGGTTTGCCAATGGTCATCAAACAGAAAATTTTAAAATCTCATTGAAATCACCAAATACTCTTAAGAATACTACACCTCCCACAACAGGCAGTTCAGCTGGTCATGGTATGCCTGGTGGCGGTGGTGGTGGTGGCAGTGTCTCCGCACATGGCAGTAATTCTATATTAAATGCCGCCTCATTGGGCTTAAGTCCAGCTGTTTCTATCCTGCCAAATGTAACATCAACAAATCCTAAAACACCGAGTCCTAGTACACATGAGGTAAGAATAAAACACATTACGAAAAAAAGAGTTTTTTATAAATATTTCTTTTTTATGACAGACCTCTAAAGATTTCACAGAACCTATTGATAAAGTACGTGATGATTCCATTAATGATTTAATGGCCACTATAGCTAAATTAGATTCCAATGGTGTGCAGGTACTGCCAGAGGGACGTACAAAAACAACATCTCCACAGGTTCACAGTTCCACAGATTTATCCAATACACAGGAAGGTATGTTGGCATCTTGAGTTTTTAGCCATTAAGCAATTATTTTTCACCCTACCCTTTTTTAAGACATAAGTTTTAAATAATTTCCTTAAATTATCATCATATATATTAATAAAATATTAATTTAATTTTTATCGATTAACTTAAGTTTAAAAGCAAAAATTGAATTCCATTCATAGTCCTCATTTTTAATTTGCATTTATTATGTGTGTTTTAATTTAATTCTCAATCTGTTTATATAACAAGATAATTAAAACAATTTATATTCCCCCATGTAATTAAACTAGTTGCTGTAGTTGTTTTTATAATTACTTGTAACTTTGCTTTGTTTATTTCTTTTCTCAAAAAAAACAAACAAAAAAAAAATATCAAATAAAATCAATTAATTAAACTAAACTTTAATCCATATAAATGCCAAAAAAATCAATTCAACTCATATATTATATACCAAATAACCACATAATCTTAAACAAACAAAACAAAAAAAAAATCCCCTAAAAAATACGTAACTAATCAAGTTCATAATACAAAAACTACTGAAAAAGATGATCCAAATGAAGATTGGTGTGCCGTTTGCTTGGATGGTGGCGAACTAATGTGTTGCGATAAATGTCCCAAAGTATTCCATCAAAATTGTCATATTCCTGCTATATCCTCCCTACCCGACGAAAGTGAAAGTTGGCAATGTTTGCTGTGTGTGAATCTCAAGGAATTGGCCAGCAATCCTGATAATCTACAAAAGAATCCGGGTGAATTAAGCCGCTTGGAATTGCAAATACTACAGCGCATCTGTTTGGAATTGTTCTGTCAATATGAGCAGAGTTTACATTTCCGTGAACCGGAACCACCTTCAAATACCGCTTACTATGAAATTGTTTGCAAGTAAGTTCTCCTTTTTTTTCAAATTTCTAAGAAAATGTTGTTTTTTTAATGAAAGAAAATTATTTGGATTTGTTAATTTCTATTTAATTATCTTTAATCTTTACATTTCTTTATTTATAGCCCCATGTCTTTAGATGTTATACGCACACGTCTGGATCCTTCTAGCCAGAATCATTACAAGGATATTTCTTCATTTATAGCTGATGTTCGCTTGATTTTTAAGAATACTTATCTATTCTATCAAGTGAGTAATATGGTAATATAATTTTTGTTTTTTATTATTATTTATTTTTTTTTTTATAATTATATGTTTAATGTTATTAAATATTCTGCTATTTTTATATTTATATTTTATAACCAAAGTTATCAATGGATTTTAAGCAATGTTTATTTGTATTTTCTGTAAAAAAGTATCCAGAGCCTTGATTGTTCTCTCAAAATCATAGTCACTATTCAAAATTGTATTTTAGATTGGATTTAGATTGGAGGTTAACAGATAAAGATAATAGATAGATAGATAGATAGATAGATAGATAGATAGATAGATAGATAGATAGATAGATAGATAGATAGATAGATAGATAGATAGATAGATAGATAGATAGATAGATAGATAGATAGATAGATAGATAGATAGATAGATAGATAGATAGATAGATAGATAGATAGATAGATAGATAGATAGATTGATTGATAGATTGATAGATAGATAGATAGATAGATAGATAGATAGATAGATAGATAGATAGATAGATAGATAGATAGATAGATAGATAGATAGATAGATAGATAGATAGATAGATAGATAGATAGATAGATAGATAGATAGATAGATAGATAGATAGATAGATAGATATATAGATATATAGATATATAGATATATAGATATATAGATAGATAGATAGATAGATAGATAGATAGATAGATAGATAGATAGATAGATAGATAGATAGATAGATAGATAGATAGATAGAAAGAAAGATAGATAGATAGATAGATAGATAGATAGATAGATAGATAGATAGATAGATAGATAGATAGATAGATAGATAGATAGATAGATAGATAGATAGATAGATAGATAGATAGATAGATAGACTATATACTATAGACTATATACTATTGACTAGACTGTAGACTAGACTATAGACTAGACTAAAGACTAGACTATAGACTAGACCATAGACTATATTATAGACTAGACTATAGGATAGACTATAGACTAGACTATATACTAGACTATATACTAGACTATATACTAGACTATATACTAGACTATAGACTAGACTATAGACTAGACTATAGACTAAACTATAGACTAAACTATAGACTAGACTATAGATTAGACTATAGACTAGACTATAGGATAGACTATAGATTAGACTATAGACTAGACTATAGACTAGACTATAGGATAGACTATAGACTAGACTAAACTATAGACTGAACTACACTATAGACTACACTATAGAATAGACTGTAGACAAGGCTATATGTAGACTAATGTAGATTAGACTACTGACTACTATGACCAGACTTCTAACTACTATGTTGACTATTTATCAAAAGTTTATAAGTTAGAAAAAGTACCGAATGGGACTTGTGAGGACCGGTATTTTTTTTTTTTTTTTTGTATTTAATACAATTTTATAACCAAGCCCTTATTTGTCAATATCAAAAAGTACTGCATTTTCCATGCCTGACTATCAATAACATTATAAAGCATTTATGAATACGGGCGGTAAATATTTTAGGAGTTTCATACGATAATTTTCTTTTAAAAACATATTTGTTATTTTTGCACAATAGAAACCATACAATTTTTATATTGCTTATTTTATCTACATAAACCCAATTAAATTATTTTTATGTAGCTCAATTACTACTACATATAATCAAAAGAATTGTAACATTTAAATGTTATACCTGTCATTGAGTGTTTTATTTCATTGTTCAATATATAATTAAATAGTAATCAATGTCTTAGCCCATTTTTTAACTAACTTAATTCATATTGATGTCTTTTTAAGTTTTATTAATTAACGTTCTTCATTATACTAATAATCGTTATTAAATGTTATTTATTTTTAATCATTGTAGGAGGATTCCAAAACCTATACAAATGCCAAATATTTGGAAAATTTCTTTGAAGAACAATTGGCTAAATGGTTACCAAGCTATGCTAATAAATCAATCAATGCCAATAATGCCAACAGTATATTGAACAGTGGACCAGGCAGTGCACTCTCAAATGGTAATAACAATGGCAATAATAGTAATTCAGCATCAACATCGGCCTCACCAGCACCCGGTGCACCATCACCCTCTTTAGAGAATGGCGGTCGTAAAAGCAGCAACTCAGCCATGTTAAATATGAATACGAATAGTAATGGCAGTAGTGCATCAACACATCGTTCCGATGACAATAATATCGATGATGGGTGCAATCCGGCTAAGAGACAACGTAAACAAACGGAATAGGGTAAGATTATTGATGAAGAAAATCTCAATATATTTATGGAAATATTACAGAAAATATAGCATTATGCCAATGTGCAGCAAATGCAACAAGATAATACATGATACAAACATAATTAAAACATTATATTTGATATATTAAAAACACAACAACAACAGCAGTAAATATAATAATAATACAAAAAATATTGAAATGTCTGTTAAGGTAAAATGAAATGAAAAGAAGAATTAAGAATTAACAAGCCAAATACGTTTCTTTAAACGTAATACTACTATTATGGACATTTAAACTTTCATATCAATTTCTGATTAAGAAAATTTTTGAATTAAAATCAAAGAAATTTAAAAAACATAAATTAAAACAAACATAACATATAACATAAATTAAAACAAAAAAACAAACAGGAAAGACAAAGTTTAACTTTAATTTTAGAAGAAAGAAAAAAACAACAACAACATCCAAAATATATTAAACATTTTTTAAGTCTTATTAAAAAACCTAAAATAAAGACTAATGAAATTATTGTAAATTAAACTAAAAACAAAGAAACAAATAAAAAACACATTTAAAATACAACTAATGAATTATATTATGAAATAAACAGTAAAATTTAAATAAAAAATAAAACAAATTTAATTTTTTTAATATTAATTGTATATAAACTAAATTTAACTAAAAGAAAAACACATGATTACAAGTTTTATAAAACACCGAAATGAAATCCAATCAACTGGTAATGAAATCATTAATTTATATCTAAAACAACACAAACAACCATTCATAATAAACATACATACTTGTATTTATATAGAAATTAAATAAATAATCCCTCTCCTATTGTTTAAAATTTTATTTCTTAATATTCAAAACAAATGTCATTTTTGTTTTGTTTTCTTTAATAAAAATTGCTACAAAAACCACAAAAATTTTCCTACTGTTTTCAATTAACTTTTCTATTTTGTACAACAGTTTTTCTTCTTGTTATTGTGATAGTTTTGCAAAGTAATTACAAAACATTTTTTATAGAAATACATACTTACTCTCTCTCTCTCTCTGTTTCTATATATATGAAATATATATTGAATTTTTCCATTACTATTTTTCATTCTTCATTAAACATCTTAAACAAAAACTGAAATTATTATTTAAAATATGAAATCTTTAATAAAAAAAAAACACTGATTTAAATATGTATACGTTTTATAACTTAGAGAAGACATTATTTTTTAAGCTTTATTTGCTATTTTTTTAAAATAATAATAATATTTTATTATTATTATATTGTTTCTATTTTATTTATAATATTATGTAATTAATTTAATGAAATATTTATTAATATAACAACAAAACATACAATTCATGACAATTTTCTAAAAAAAAACTTATGTGTACTTCAATAACTTTTAAAGAATACTTATCAAATATTGTACAAATTCATTAAACTTTTAACAATTGGCATATTGCTGGATATTAATAAATTTAACCACTTTTTCCGCTTCACTTGTATGTAGAAGAGGTTCACTGACGCTTAAAGTCCGACATCTCCTGGCACACCTTTTCAGTGTTCTTTAATACTTTTCTTACAAGAGTCCAATACCTTTCCACAGGCCAAAGTTGTGGACAGTTTTGTGGATTTTCCTCTTTATTGTTTGAATACTATTTGATAGTTTTTTTCCCTAGTGGCATGATGTCAAATCATTTTACAAATATGAAGACACTCTGAGCTGTTTAAAGATATGTAAATAAACGATTATTGTGTTTTTCAGCTATAAATTTAATAGCAGTCAACTTTGTTAGTATTGCCAACTTTTCATATACGAACATAAACAGTAAACAGCTGTTTTTGCAAATAATACTTTTGTGAAATAAAAAAAATAGAAAAAACAGAGTAGGCTTAACTCTAGATTAGACTAGACTATATACCAGACTACGGCCTAGACTATAGAGTAGATTATATACTAGACTATAGATTAGACTATATATTATACTACATATTAGACTTTAGACTAGACTATAGACTAGACTATGGACTAGACTATAGACTACACTATAGACTACTCTATAGACTAGACTATAGACTAGACTATAGACTAGACTATAGACTAGACTATAGACTATACTATAGACTAGACTATACTATAGACTACACTATAGACTAGACTATAGACTACACTATAGACTAGACTATAGACCAGACTATAGACTAGACTATAGACTAGACTATAGACTAGACCATAGACTAGACCATAGACTAGACCATAGACTAGACCATAGACTAAACTATAGACTAGACTATAAATTAGGCTATAGACTATGCCATGGACCAGACTGCAAACTAGATTTTAGAGTAGACTATAGACTAGACTATAAACTAGACTATAGACTAGACTATAGACTAGACTATAGACTAGACTATAGACTAGACTATAGACTAGACTATAGACTAGACTATAAACTAGACTATAGACTAGACTATAAACTAGACTATAGACTAGACTATAGACTAGACTATAGACTAGACTATAGACTAGACTATAGACTAGACTATAGACTAGACTATAGACTAGACTATAGACTAGACTATAGACTAGACTATAGACTAGACTATAGACTAGACTATAGACTAGACTATAGACTAGACTATAGACTAGACTATAGACTAGACTATAGACTAGACTATAGACTAGACTATAGACTAGACTATAGACTAGACTATAAACTAGACTATAGACTAGACTATAACTAGACTATAGACTAGACTATAGACTAGACTATAGACTAGACTATAGACTAGACTAGACTAGACTATAGACTAGACTATAGACTAGACTATAGACTAGACTATAGACTAGACTATAGACTAGACTATAGACTAGACTATAGACTAGACTATAGACTAGACTATAGACTAGACTATAGACTAGACTATAACTAGACTATAGACTAGACTATAGACTAGACTATAGACTAGACTATAGACTAGACTAGACTATAGACTAGATTGTATAGACTATAGACTCGTCTATTTGGAGCTGCGCATAAAATAATCATTTAACTTTACAAGCTGCTTTCCTAATAGAAGTCTTTGGTCTTTCGAAACAATTGTTCGACTTATTTTGTTTTATCAATTTCTTCTCGATCCTGGTGTTATTTTAATGCTCAAGTCTTCCATATAATGTTTAATGAGTTTTGAAATAGTGCGATGATAAAACTTCAGATATTTTACGATTTTTATAAAAGTTCATATTATTTTTATGAAAAGTTTTAATTTTACGTACATTTTTTCGGAGTCCACTTTGACCGAAATAACTGTTAAAAATAAATGATTTAGAAATGATAATATCTGACGTAAGTGTTAAAGCTAATACATATGATCAAAAAGAGATGAATTTTAATGGACCAGGGAAATGTTTTGGCTGGAAAAAGTGTGTATAACTTTTAAGTTTTAAAAATTATTTATTCAAAAGTAACATTAACACTTTGAAAACGAACAAAACCTAAATGGTTTATTACTGTAAAATATTTAACAAAATTTTAATTATTGCAATTACAATATTAAACAATATAAAAAAGCCAAAATAAAGTCAAAACTTTAAAACTCTAACAAAAATTATTATTAAAAATATTATTATTTTCTTATGACATCATAAAAAACTCTCACTATTTAATAAAAAAAAAATAGAGAAACAAAACAAAAGAGAACATAGTAGTACACAGAAAAAATTAATTTTAAAAAATTTTCAATTAAACGATTAATCAAAAATTTTAAAAGGGTTCAATTCATTTTGTATTTGATACATAAAAATGTATAATCAAATACGTACACAGAAAAAATTAATTTTAAAAAATTTTCAATTAAACGATTAATTAAAAATTTTAAAAAGGTTCAATTCATTTTGTATTTGATTCATAAAAATGTATAATCAAATACGTATTTAACAACAACAAAAATAGAAAAAAATAAAAATTTTGTATACGAAATCAATTATAAGTAGTAATTGAATATACAATTTTTGTTATAGGTTGAACTTCAAAAAATAAAATAATTGAAAACGAGGTTTTGGTAATTGAAATCGTTTTTCAGTTTTTTCTGTGTATTTAACAACAACAAAAATAGAAAAAAATAAAAATTTTGTGTACGAAATCAATTATAAGTAGTAATTGAATATACAATTTTTGTTATAGGTTGAACTTCAAAAAATAAAATAATTGAAAACGAGGTTTTGGTAATTGAAATCGTTTTTCAGTTTTTTCTGTGTACTAAACAAAATAAATAATCCAAATAAATAAAAAAAAATCAAGTATTGTTGTTGTGTATGAATTATTTTTAATGCATACAATTAAATATTAGAAAGTAGAGAGATTAAAGCAAAAAAACTTAGCATTAGAAGAAAAAACAAACAAAAAATAAAAAAACATTGACACAATTATGTAAGTTATAAAAAATAAAATAAAAGCATTAAAATATGTGGCTTTTATATATAAATAATAAAAAAAAAACTAAACTAGAACTAAAATTCCAAAAAATCTAATTATATGTATTATATAACATATAGGACAAAAGAAATACAAACTAAAATCAAGAAATTAACAGGAATTTCAAAACAAAACAGAATTGCAAACTAAAAAGTTTAAAATAAACTAAGTAACAATAGTAAAAAAACACTTCAATAAACTTAAAATATAATAATAATTAATTAAGAAAATCAGCAAATAAAACAAATAAGAAATTATTAAAAATTTTACTCAATTAACAAGAAAATAAACAAAACTCTCACATTAAATTCATAACAAATACCACAAACCATCATATGAAACAAAACAAAAAATTATTAAAATAAATAACTATTAAACAAAATTTAATAATTATTAACAGAACACATAATTGTTGGTTTAAACAAACAACTAAAAACGTATAAAAAATATGCATTAAAACTATTTAAACATCTATTTTAAATGTTTTTTTTTAGTAAACAAAACTGATATAATAAATAAAACACACCACTTGCAACTAAAGTTAAAAACAAAGAAATATATATTCTTAATATAAGCTCTATATGTTTAATTAACAACATTAAATAAAACATTAAAAAAGAAATAAACAGTCTAATAATAAACAAGAAATAAACCACAATTTACAAATAAAAACAAATTCTTCTATTTAATAAATAATTAATAATTATTAATTAAATAATTTGTATAATTTTCGTTTTCTAATTATTTTATTTGTTTTTTCCGCTTTTTTTACTCTTAAGCATTTAGTTTATAACAATGATCATGAAATTTTTATTTTGAATTTATTATAAAATCAAATTTGTTTTATTTTTATTATAATGGCTTAAAAGCATAATTATTATTATTACGTTAAATGCAAACATATTAAAAATGTATGTAAAATGTACTTTTTTTAATTTTTATTTAATATAATAAGTTTAATAATAAACAAACAAACAAACAAATAAAATCATATAAATATTATCTTATAAATAAACTTCGTATTACATGTAAAAAATAAAATATTGATTGTTTTTTTCTATTCGAATTGACGTTCCATCACTACAATTACAAAAACGCAGCTTACTTACTTACATAAGGACTTAAATGGGTGAAAGAATCTCAGATAGGACTAGTATGTGGTTAGTGCAATGATACGTTTTCATAGTTTTCTTATGGCTTTACGGGCAGAACTACACAAACGGATTCCGACAAATGTAGAGTATGCAGAGAGGACAGTGAAGTCTCCATCATTGTCACACTTTCGTACTTTCCAGATTATGCACACCTCTAGAATAATAATTGAAAAATTCGAATCAACTACGTCCAACAAAAATATTTGATAATAATTCCCTACAGTGAGCGTATGTATATGCTTTTCCACCAACGTTTTGCAGAAAATATAAACAACAAGCCCGATAGCGGCCTAGGAAAAATCAGTTTAGTTTAATAAAGAAGAAGGAAGAAATTTAAAAGAAGAAGAAGAAGATGAGAAGAATGAGAATTTCTCTCCAAAAAGACAAAAGGAAGAGAGTGGGCATGGATGGGAATCCCCTAATTGCCCGTTATCTGAATAACTTAATCATTCCCCTGATGAAGCCCATAATGTCGCCTAAATTACACTCTGCTACATATCCTAGTTCATCGTGGAATCTTTTGCCTAGACATTTCAGTCTCAGACTCTGTATTCTGGGACAGTGGCATAAAATATGCCCTACTGTTTCTAGTTCCTCTTCGTCCTCACACAACCTGCAAAAAAATCCTGTGTGCTACCGACCCAATTACCCCTAAAAGCTCCAACTGCAGAGTGTCAGGTTAGCATCCCTACCAAAATCCTTATACTATTCCTGTCCAGTCCTAAGAGTACTCTTGTTGCTTTTGGATTTAACTTCGGAAGAGGGAAGGAAGAGGGTTGCCATACACCCCTTGTAGGGAAATAGATCAAAACCTCTGTTGGTTATCAAACCACAACTATAGACTGATTAAATTGCACCCATTTTGTAAACTAGAGGTGATATAAGAAAAAGGAGAGAGATCTGTGATCGCTTTTCTTATGTCAAAAGATCTATTTCTTTTTCAGGAAACAAAAAGTCTATTGTTTCGAAAACTAAATGCATAAAAGTTAAATCAACGGAATATCGGTAAAAATACAGCTTTATTCTAGTTGAAACTTCCATTATTCTTGGAAAAGTTAAAACTAATTAAAGTAAAATAATTAAAATTTAGTTTGTATTTATTTTATTTTTAAACAAATCAAAAAAAAAAAAAAAAATTAACAAAATAAGTACATTGAATTGCAACTTTTAAATTAAAAAACGTTTATCGATTAAAGTCTTATTTGAGATATTCTCTTTTACCGCATAACGATAAAACGATTGGAAAATCTGAAAGAAACAAAAAAAAAAAGAAACTGTGTTAAATATGCAAACACTTGGCATTATAAATTACATTTACCTTATTAAAAATACAAACTGCAATAACAGCTGCCAAAAGATTGGAAAAGATTAAATAAATTGCCAGAAGCAGTAGGAATTCCAATATAAACATTTGCCATTCGTTGCCATAAAGAAACATTTGTGTAAAGGAAAAACTTGTGTCGATATAAAACGTACCCTTGTCTGAAGATAAAAGAAAGAGAGAATAATAAGATATTTACAAATTAATTACAAACAAAACTTACTGTCAGTCAAATAATTTTCAAATTCACAGTCGAACAAACGTTCTACAATAGTCTTCTCCTTAATTATATAATCCATATCCTTAATGCCCTAAAATTTAAAAAGAAATGTATTAAATTTTTCTTCCATTTCAATTAAAAGTTTGCGAAAAAACTTACATGATCAATAAAGGCACAAAAGAAACGATTAACACTACAGTAGGCAACCGAAGTCTTTTCCAAATTGCCCTCAATACTGTTAATTTCTTTTTGAAAGTGTGTAGCTGTTGAACCCACTCCTCCTCCACCGCCTACAGCACCTAGAGTTCCACCAATTGATCTCTGATACGGCAAGAGTAGTTTATCAAAATAATTACTTAAATTTTTTGGTGGCATTATCACGTAACATTGATCCGTATCACTTAAAAGACCACGACGTCCACAAATGCTGTGAGTTTCACGTTGCAGCTGCATTAACATTGTTGTCATATCGGAATCAGCAAAACCATGTGGTGAACGTCCATGTATATAGTAACCAAATGATGGTTCGATTAGTGTAAATATTGAAATGTTTGCCAACGAACAATGGTCAATGTATTTTTGTATGGGATTTCCAGTGAAGCGTGTTAGTATTTGGCTTAAAATCACATACTGACAGAGGGAGAGAACGAGGGAGAGAAGGGAAAAGAAGAGAGGGGGAACGGCAGGGGGACGGAGGGGGGCGAGGGGGAAAAGCGGGGGAAGGAAGGAGGGAGCGGGGAAGCGGGGAGGAAGGGAGAGCGAGCGAGCGAGCGAGCGAGCGAGCGAGCGAGCGAGCGAGGAGCGAGAGAGCGAGCGAGCAGGAGCGAGCGAGCGAGCGAGCGAGCGAGCGAGCGAGCGAGCGAGCGAGGAGCGAGCGAGCGAGCGAGCGAGAGCGAGCGAGCGAGCGAGCAGCGAGCGAGAGCGAGCGATCGAGCGAGCGAGCGAGCGAGCGAGCGAGCGAGCGAGCGAGCGAGCGAGCGAGCGAGCGAGCGAGCGAGCGAGCGAGAGAGCGAGCGAGCGAGCGAGCGAGCGAGGAGCGAGCGAGCGAGCGAGCGAGCGAGCGAGCGAGCGAGCGAGCGAGCGAGCGAGCGAGCGAGGAGCGAGAGCGAGCGAGCGAGCGAGCGAGCGAGCGAGCGATTCTATCTATCTATCTATCTATCTATCTATCTAGCTATCTATCTATCTATCTATCTATCTATCTATCTATCTATCTATCTATCTATTATCTATCTATCTATCTATCTAATCTATCATCTATCTATCTATCTATCTATCTATAATCTATCTATCTATCTATCTATCTATCTATCTATCTATCTATCTATCTATCTATCTATCTATCTATCTTATCTATCTATCTTCTATCTATCAATCAATCAATCTAGTTATGTACATATTAATAAAGCCCTGCCATACTTTTTCATTGTTTAACTTACCCTTGCCACTGCCACCATTGTCAATCCTTGTAAGACTCTGGAAGTCTTCTGTTTACCACTCAACTGTATCCATTCGTTCGCCAGCAAAATGCTACGCCAAGCCGAAACATTTGAATCACTAATATAAGTTCGAACACTCGAACAAACGGAAGACGTTTCAAGATTATTTTTCAAATTGAAATGATTCGTATCGCCACAACGAGGACGTTCCCAATCAATGAAAAAGATGTGAAAATGTGATAAGCGCCAAAAATATATACACAAATATATCAACTGTTGGTACGAGAAAGGAACACACAACAGCCACCATTAGCAGAAAGCAAGAAAAAGAAACGAAAGAAAACAAACATGATAAAATACTCTTGAATAATTGATTGGAATGGCAAACAAAGAAACATTAACATAAACTAACAAAATACTGCACTTTATTTACCTTTAAAATCAATGCTGCATATATAATCAATTCCAACGAACGTTGATCCTTAACAATGGGCAATGTCAACTCCACAATGTCTTGACTTAAAAATGCCAAAGAATTCATAAAAACATGTAAAAGAAAGCAGATTAAAAATGCCAATGCCATATAGGAAATCAAATGCAATAGGAATTCGGTGAAAAAGGTAAAATGACAAAAATCATCATCATTGTTTTGTGATGTTGCTGCTGTCAGAGGCGTCGTAGACGAAGATGTTGTCACAAAAGATGATGTACGTCTTTTGCGGCTATTATTGGCTTTGAAAAGTGCTGCCACCAAAGCAAAGAGCAAAGACAATGGCAGAGCTATTTCATTAACTAGCTCTCCTTTAGCTGTTTCACCAACCCGTTCATATGTTATGAGCAATTTGAAATTGTATTTGGTATTTAGTGTAGTATTGTTGGTAAATTCTATATGGCGATAATGTAGCTTAAGTATGGGTATCGATATGTGATTGTTTTCGTGAATATCATAGTGAAGTTCTATTTTATCGGCGTAGCGCAAAGATCTAAAGATTAGCAATTTGTGAGAGTCTTCATAGGGAGTAGGAGCTTTTGGGCCTAATGTACCATGCCGTAGATGAAATTGTATTAATTGGAAACGTTTAACCAACTGCCATTCTTCCTTTTGTAGACGCTGAAATAAAATAATGTTATTTAGAGAATGCTAACTTAATAACTTGCCAAAGAAGTTTTCTGAAAGCTTTAGAATGTCCTGAAATTTTCATAGAATATTATCATTCCCTGCTTTGTTCAGCTTTGTTTGAAATTACAAATCTGAGCATCTACAACACTTCTACAGAAGTGATTTGAATCCTTTCAACTAAGAAGTTTTACCACATTGGCTGCATATCAAACAGGCCTCAGTTCATTCCCGGTCAGGGTTCTTAGGTTATTAGTGGATAGCACAAATGATAAATAAACTTCCATCGCATTAGGTTAAGCAGCTAATTAATCCTAATCCCTTGATTCTTTATGTTTGAAAGCATTTTTACTTACCCTATTCTCTGGCAACAGATCTTCTATCAGAATTGGTATGGCTTGTAAAAATACTCCATCATTGTCATCATTTCTGGTGAAATTTAAAAATAAACTTATAAAACGATTATTGTCATAAATCTTAGCCAAATCAATAAGTTCTTCCAATGTCAATGAACACTCAATTGCATCATATTCATAAGCAAATCTTAGAAAATTAACAAAACTCCAACTGTTTTTATAATAGGGGCATAAATTCAAATCATTTAGTTTTAAAGAACCCAACGCAGTAGGGGTTCCATCTAAGGCATATGTAGTTGCACAAGAATTTCAAATGATTATTGCTGAAAGATAAGAAGGCAAAGAATCAATTTTAATAATTATTATGACCATACCAGGCATGGATAATTTAATTTCAAATTTACTACTAACTCAAAGTTACTTTTTTAGGTTTAAATCACTAACTTACGACTCAACTAAAAACTAGGACAAGATAAGCCTAACTATGACTAGACTAGGTTAGAATAAACATAACACTATAGACTAGACTATAGACTAAACTATAGACAGACTAAGACTAGATAACTAGACTAGACTAGATATACTAACTATAGACTAGACTATAGGACTATATAGACTACTATAGACTAGACTAGACTAGACTATAGACTAGACTAGACTATAGACTAGACTATAGACTAGACTATAGACTAGACTATAGACAGACTATAGACTAGACTATAGACTAGACTATAGATAGATATAGACTAGACTATAGACTACTATAGACTAGACTATAGACTAGAACTATAGACTAGACTATAGACTAGACTATGACTAACTATAGACTAGACTATTCAGACTTTAGACTAGACTATAGACTAGACTAGACTATAGACTAGACTAGACTATAGACTAGACTAGGACTATAGACTAGGATAGACTATAGACTAGCTAGACTATAGACTAGACTATAGACTAGACTATAGACTAGACTATAGACTAGACTATAGACTAGACTATAGACTAGACTATAGACTAGACTATAGACTAGACTAGACTATAGACTAGACTATAGACTAGTACTATAGACTAGACTATAGACTAGACTAGAGATGACTATAGACTAGACTATAGACTAGACTATAGACTAGACTATAGACTAGACTATAGACTAGACTATAGACTAGACTATAGACTAGACTATAGATATTGATTAGACCATAGACTAGACTATAGATTACATCATAGACTAGGCTAGCCTATAGACTAAACTATAGACTAGACTAGTCTATAGACTAGACTATTGATTAGACCATAGACTAGACTATAGATTAAACCATAGACTAGACTATAAACTAAACTATAGACTAGACTATTGATTAGACCATAGACTAGACTATAGATTAAACCATAGAATAGACTATAGACTAAACTATAGACTAGACTATAGAATAGACTATAGACTAAACTGTAGACTAAACTATAGACAAAATTATAGACTAAGCTATAGATTAGACCATAGACTAGACTATAGACTAGACCATAGACTATACTATAGACCAAACTATAGACTAAACTATAGACTAGACTATAGACTAAACTATAGACTAGACTATAGACTAAAGTATAGACTAAACTATAGACTAGACTATAGACTAAACTAAAGACTAAACTATAGACTAGACTATAGACTAAACTATAGACTGGACTATAGACTCGACTAGACTATAGACTAGACTACAGACTAGACTATAGACTAGACCATAGACTATACTATAGACTAGACTGTAGAATAGACTATAGACTTGACTATAGACTTGACTATAGACTTGACTATAGACTTGACTATAGACTTGACTATAGACTTGACTATAGACTTGACTATAGACTTGACTATAGACTTGACTATAGACTTGACTATAGACTTGACTATAGACTAGACTATAGAGAAAACTATAGACGAAACTATAGACTAGAATATAGACTATAGACCAGTTTAAAGTACTGCACTTTCCATGACTGGTTCATAATCTTAAGCTATTCCAATACTTACTGTTGTCTGTTTTACATCCATAGTATAAGTTAAACCTTTGATTGGCACACCCAATTCCGCTAATGTTTCTTTACCCTTGCTATAGTATAAGAATGGTTTCATTTGTTGTTGCGACAATAATTCATCCACACTGCCATATCTGTAGACTGCATCAGAGGCTTGATTTAAAAGAAATTTACTACAGGGCGAATTCTTATCATTTGCATAATGAAACAAAACACATAAATTGGCCAACTGATGGCAGGCCGTTTGATTATTGAGAGCCATACAAAAGAAGGCCACAAATTTCAATTCCCCAAAGTGTGGCGAAGAGGTCGTTGCCTGCCAAAAGGAATTGTAACTTAGAAAAGGACGCAGCAAGCCATTTGCAATACAATAGTCTTGATAGTGAAAATTATACTCGATATTGCAATCATCACATAATCCATCATATTGCCAATTGCGATAGCACACATCAATTCTACGCGAAAAATCTGCCAGTGATTGTGTGGGGCTAGTGGTCATTGTACGATTAATATATTTAAATTTACATTTTAATTTTGGAAGAATGGTGGTTTCATTGTTTGTACAATATTTAGCAATTAGTTCAGTGGTGGTATTCGTTATTTTGTATTGCATCTGCTTTTGGTTGCACAAGTTGCTGCATGTTATGTAGGGTTTAAAAGTGTCGTAGACCGTTACAGTGGTTGGTGATGGTGACGTTTTGCAACCGCAAGAAAATTCTAAAAATAAAATTTTAAGGTTGCAATTAAAAAGTTTGTGGTTTTGTTTATACTAACGGAAAATATATGTAAAATGAATATCGATTTTATTGAAATTATTTTGCTAGAAAATTTTATTACCAACAATTTTATCAATAAAGTGAGTTTAGTGAATACAGTAAAATTAAAAATGTTAAAAGACTAAAATGTTATGATTTTAAATAATGAATAATCCAGACCCTAATACGGTTAGAAAGATCTATGTATTTCTATGTGTGTGTGAAATCTGCACATATAGGTAATAGCATTGAAAACTTAATATTCGATCAGTGACTGCGACTTGAAGGCAATGTCTATCACCATTATTTGTTTTTGTTGAAAATTTCTTGAATTACACAGGGCAACAAAAGTTTAAAAAAGTCCACTCTCAGATAATCATAGCAAAAATACCACGAAGGTTTTTCAAAATTCAAGGTAAGATTTCTCAAAGATATGACAGAGGTTAAACCTTTACTTTGAAACCAATAGGAAGGACATTCAAACGTCATAACAAATTTTATGAATAAAGTTAAATACAGCGCGAATTACATCTTGAAATAGCACATCTTGAACCCTTCGAAATGTAAAATTAAATTTGTTGGCCGCTGTTATTTATTACAATAAAAAAGTAATTATGTCGAACCTGTGTTTATTCAATACAATTAATATTTTTCCTCTACTTACTATCATCATTAGTTTGCAAATTTTCACCAATTCTCTGACAAGCACTACATTGAAAATAATTTAAATCATAAAATTCATTTTTAGCACAATTTTTAATATCTTCAAACAGAAAAAGAGAACGATTGAAGTTCTTTTCTTTTGCATAATCCATTTTCGAACTCAAAACCACACAATTAAAATTAATAAAAACCCTTAATAAAGCGATTACAAACATATAAAGGAAGCACATTTTGTTTTTAATTTTTTTCAAAAATTTTAATATTTTTATGGGTTTTTAATACTTTTTGCTTCAAATTGTTAGTTTTCCATGTGTTTTCGTTTAACCCCTTAAAGTAACTGAAATGTAAGAGTAATTTAGCTGCAGAGTTTAACTATAACACTTATTATTGAAAAAAAAAAAACAAAAAAAATTGTTCTCGATTAACTCCCTTAGTATTCAAAATAGTGATATAAAGGGTATTTTAATAAGGGGTGTTTCAGCATTCATTGCAACGAACGAGTCAAATGATTGATCCCTAATCTAGTTTGTAGTCTTGTCTAGTCTATAGTCTAGTCTATAGTCTAGTCTATAGTCTAGTCTATAGTCTAGTCTATAGTCTAGTCTATAGTCTAGTCTATAGTCTAGTCTATAGTCTAGTCTATAGTCTAGTCTATAGTCTAGTCTATAGTCTAGTCTATAGTCTAGTCTATAGTCTAGTCTATAGTCTAGTCTATAGTCTAGTCTATAGTCTAGTCTATAGTCTAGTCTATAGTCTAGTCTATAGTCTAGTCTATAGTCTAGTCTATAGTCTAGTCTATAGTCTAGTCTATAGTCTAGTCTATAGTCTAGTCTATAGTCTAGTCTATAGTCTAGTCTATAGTCTAGTCTATAGTCTAGTCTATAGTCTAGTCTATAGTCTAGTCTATAGTCTAGTCTATAGTCTAGTCTATAGTCTAGTCTATAGTCTAGTCTATAGTCTAGTCTATAGTCTAGTCTATAGTCTAGTCTATAGTCTAGTCTATAGTCTACTCTATAGTCTACTCTATAGTCTAGTCTATAGTCTAGTCTATAGTCTAGTCTATGGTCTAGTCTATAGTCTAGTCTATAGTCTAGTCTATAGTCTAGTCTATGGTCTAGTCTATAGTCTAGTCTATAGTCTAGTCTATAGTCTAGTCTATTGTCTAGTCTATAGTCTAGTCTATTGTCTAGTCTATAGTCTAGTCTATAGTCTAGTCTATAGTCTAGTCTATAGTCTAGTCTATAGTCTAGTCTATAGTCTAGTATATAGTCTAGTCTATAGTCTAGTCTATAGTCTAGTATATAGTCTAGTCTATAGTCTAGTCTATAGTCTAGTCTATAGTCTAGTCTATAGTCTAGTCTATAGTCTAGTCTATAGTCTAGGTCTATAGTCTATGTCTATAGTCTAGTCTATAGTCTAGTCTATAGTCTAGTCTATAGTCTAGTCTATAGTCTAGTCTATAGTCTAGTCTATAGTCTAGTCTATAGTCTAGTCTATAGTCTAGTCTATAGTCTAGTCTATAGTCTAGTCTATAGTCTAGTCTATAGTCTAGTCTATAGTCTAGTCTATAGTCTAGTCTATAGTCTAGTCTATAGCTAGTCTATAGTCTAGTCTATAGTCTAGTCTATAGTCTAGTCTATAGTCTAGTCTATAGTCTAGTCTATAGTCTAGTCTATAGTCTAGGTCTATAGTCTAGTCTATAGTCTAGTCTATAGTCTAGTCTATAGTCTAGTCTATAGTCTAGTCCTATAGTCCTAGTCTATAGTCTAGTCTATAGTCTAGTCTATAGTCTAGTCTATAGTCTAGTCTATAGTCTAGTCTATAGTCTAGTCTATAGTCCAGTCTATAGTCTAGTCTATAGTCTAGTCTATAGTCTAGTCTATAGTCTAGTCTATAGTCTAGTCTATAGTCTAGTCTATAGTCTAGTCTATAGTCTAGTCTATAGTCTAGTCTATAGTCTAGTCTATAGTCTAGTCTAGTCTATAGTCTAGTCTAGTCTAGTCTAGTCTAGTCTATAGTCTAGTCTATAGTCTAGTCTATAGTCTAGTCTATAGTCTAGTCTAGTCTATAGTCTAGTCTATAGTCTAGTCTAGTCTATAGTCTAGTCTATAGTCTAGTCTATAGTCTAGTCTATAGTCTAGTCTATAGTCTAGTCTATAGTCTAGTCTATAGTCTAGTCTATAGTCTAGTCTATTGTCTAGTCTATAGTCTAGTCTATAGTCTAGTCTATAGTCTAGTCTATAGTCTAGTCTATAGTCTAGTCTATAGTCTAGTATATAGTCTAGTCTATAGTCTAGTCTATAGTCTAGTATATAGTCTAGTCTATAGTCTAGTATATAGTCTAGTCTATAGTCTAGTCTATAGTCTAGTCTATAGTCTAGTCTATAGTCTAGTCTATAGTCTAGTCTATAGTCTAGTCTATAGTCTAGTCTATAGTCTAGTCTATAGTCTAGTCTATAGTCTAGTCTATAGTCTAGTCTATAGTCTAGTCTATAGTCTAGTCTATAGTCTAGTCTATAGTCTAGTCTATAGTCTAGTCTATAGTCTAGTCTATAGTCTAGTCTATAGTCTAGTCTATAGTCTAGTCTATAGTCTAGTCTATAGTCTAGTCTATAGTCTAGTCTATAGTCTAGTCTATAGTCTAGTCTATAGTCTAGTCTATAGTCTAGTCTATAGTCTAGTCTATAGTCTAGTCTATAGTCTAGTCTATAGTCTAGTCTATAGTCTAGTCTATAGTCTAGTCTATAGTCTAGTCTATAGTCTAGTCTATAGTCTAGTCTATAGTCTACTCTATAGTCTACTAGTCTATAGTCTAGTCTATAGTCTAGTCTATAGGTCTAGTCTATAGTCTAGTCTATAGTCTAGTCTATAGTCTAGGTCTATAGTCTAGTCTATAGTCTAGTCTATAGTCTAGTCTATAGTCTAGTCTATAGTCTAGTCTATAGTCTAGTCTATAGTCTAGTCTATAGTCTAGTCTATAGTCTAGTCTATAGTCTAGTCTATAGTCTAGTCTATAGTCTAGTCTATAGTCTAGTCTATAGTCTAGTCTATAGTCTAGTCTATAGTCTAGTCTATAGTCTAGTCTATAGTCTAGTCTATAGTCTAGTCTATAGTCTAGTCTATAGTCTAGTCTATAGTCTAGTCTATAGTCTAGTCTATAGTCTAGTCTATAGTCTAGTCTATAGTCTAGTCTATAGTCTAGTCTATAGTCTAGTCTATAGTCTAGTCTATAGTCTAGTCTATAGTCTAGTCTATAGTCTAGTCTATAGTCTAGTCTATAGTCTAGTCTATAGTCTAGTCTATAGTCTAGTCTATAGTCTAGTCTATAGTCTAGTCTATAGTCTAGTCTATAGTCTAGTCTATAGTCTAGTCTATAGTCTAGTCTATAGTCTAGTCTATAGTCTAGTCTATAGTCTAGTCTATAGTCTAGTCTATAGTCTAGTCTATAGTCTAGTCTATAGTCTAGTCTATAGTCTAGTCTATAGTCTAGTCTATAGTCTAGTCTATAGTCTAGTCTATAGTCTAGTCTATAGTCTAGTCTATAGTCTAGTCTATAGTCTAGTCTATAGTCTAGTCTATAGTCTAGTCTATAGTCTAGTCTATAGTCTAGTCTATAGTCTAGTCTATAGTCTAGTCTATAGTCTATAGTCTAGTCTATAGTCTAGTCTATAGTCTAGTCTATAGTCTAGTCTATAGTCTAGTCTATAGTCAGTCTATAGTCTAGTCTATAGTCTAGTCTATAGTCTAGTCTATAGTCTAGTCTATAGTCTAGTCTATAGTCTAGTCTATAGTCTAGTCTATAGTCTAGTCTATAGTCTAGTCTATAGTCTAGTCTATAGTCTAGTCTAGTCTATAGTCTAGTCTAGTCTAGTCTAGTCTAGTATAGTCTAGTCTATAGTCTAGTCTATAGTCTAGTCTATAGTCTAGTCTAGTCTATAGTCTAGTCTATAGTCTAGTCTAGTCTATAGTCTAGTCTATAGTCTAGTCTATAGTCTAGTCTATAGTCTAGTCTATAGTCTAGTCTATAGTCTAGTCTATAGTCTAGTCTATAGTCTAGTCTATAGTCTAGTCTATAGTCTAGTCTATAGTCTAGTCTATAGTCTAGTCTATAGTCTAGTCTATAGTCTAGTCTATAGTCTAGTCTATAGTCTAGTCTATAGTCTAGTCTATAGTCTAGTCTATAGTCTAGTCTATAGTCTAGTCTATAGTCTAGTCTATAGTCTAGTCTATAGTCTAGTCTATAGTCTAGTCTATAGTCTAGTCTATAGTCTAGTCTATAGTCTAGTCTATAGTCTAGTCTATAGTCTAGTCTATAGTCTAGTCTATAGTCTAGTCTATAGTCTAGTCTATAGTCTAGTCTATAGTCTAGTCTATAGTCTAGTCTATAGTCTAGTCTATAGTCTAGTCTATAGTCTAGTCTATAGTCTAGTCTATAGTCTAGTCTATAGTCTAGTGTATAGTCTATTCTATAGAGTAGTCTATAGTGTAGTTTATAGTCTAGTCCATAGTCTAGTCTATAGTCTAGTCTATAGACTAGACTATAGTCTAGTCTATAGTCTAGTCTATAGTCTAGTCTATAGTCTAGTCTATAGTCTAGTCTATAGTCTAGTCTATAGTCTAGTCTATAGTCTAGTCTATAGTCTAGTCTATAGTCTAGTCTATAGTCTAGTCTATAGTCTAGTCTATAGTCTAGTCTATAGTCTAGTCTATAGTCTAGTCTATAGTCTAGTCTATAGTCTAGTCTATAGTCTAGTCTATAGTCTAGTCTATAGTCTAGTCTATAGTCAAGTCTATAGTCTAGTCTATAGTCTAGTCTATAGTCTAGTCTATAGTCTAGTCTAGTCTAGTCTATAGTCTAGTCTATAGTCTAGTCTATAGTCTAGTCTATAGTCTAGTCTATAGTCTAGTCTATAGTCTAGTCTATAGTCTAGTCTATAGTCTAGTCTATAGTCTAGTCTATAGTCTAGTCTATAGTCTAGTCTATAGTCTAGTCTATAGTCTAGTCTATAGTCTAGTCTATAGTCTAGTCTATAGTCTAGTCTATAGTCTAGTCTATAGTCTAGTCTATAGTCTAGTCTATAGTCTAGTCTATAGTCTAGTCTATAGTCTAGTCTATAGTCTAGTCTATAGTCTAGTCTATAGTCTAGTCTATAGTCTAGTCTATAGTCTAGTCTAGTCTAGTCTATAGTCTAGTCTATAGTCTAGTC